GTGATGAACTTATAGGCAGCCACAAGGTCGCCTCTCATCCTTCTCTTGCGGAGGCGGAAAAGGTCCAGTTTCTCTAGTCTCTCCTCGTAGGGCTTGGTCTGCAGGCCCTTAACCATACGAGTGGCCCTTCTCTGCACCCTCTCCAGGTTATCTGCATCTTTCTTGAAGCGTGGTGCCCAGAATTGCACGCAGTACTCCAACTGCGGTCTGACCAGCGCCCGATAGAGGGGAAGTATCACCTCCTTGGACCTATTCGTCATGCATCTGCTGATGCACAATAAAGTGCCATTGGCTTTTTTGATGGCTTCGTCACACTGCCGACTCATGTTCATCTTGGAGTCCACTAGGACTCCCAGATCCCTTTCCATTTCCATGCCACCCAGCAGGTCATTCCCTAGGCGGTAGGTGTGCTGGACATTTTTCCTCCCTAGGTGCAGCACTTTGCATTTCTCCTTGTTGAACTGCATTCTGTTGTTTTCTGCCCATTTGTCCAACCTGTCCAGGTCTGCTTGCAGCTGTTCCCTGCCCTCCGGTGTGTCCACATCTCCCCATAGCTTTGTGTCATCTGCAAACTTGGACAGAGTACATTTCACTCCCTCGTCCAAGTTGCTGATGAAGACATTAAAGAGTATCGGTCCAAGGACCGAGTCCTGTGGGACCCCCCTGCCCACACCCTTCCAGGTCGAAACCAACTCATCTACCACGACTCTCTGGGTGTGACCCTCCAGCCAATTCGCCACCCACCGGACTGTGTAGTCATCCAAGTCACAGCCTCTTAACTTGTTCACCGGTATGGGGTGGGATACCATATCAAAGGACTTCCTGAAGTCTAAGTAGTTCCTGCAAGACTAGTAAGTTTCTTGCCTTCCATGGTGCTGAGCAAAAGCTCACTATAGCTTTCCATATTCTCCCTCAATTCATCTTTCAGGCCCCAGCCCACACGCCACAAAAAAGTTCTTTTAGCGTGAGCTGTTTCTTAGTACCGAGTTGCTATAGGTATTTCTCTACCTCCCCCCAGACATGCCACATGCTTTCTTGGTTGCAACATGTTTGTCTGGAGCATTCAGTTCTTTTCCACAGTCTTTAACTGCAATGGAGCACCTGTACCAATACAGTCCAATGTGCTAGCAGCCAACCAAAGTCATGGCGCTGCTTCTGTAAGCTTTTGCCAAAAAGCCCCTTCCAAACTGCTGATTCAAAATTTTTACAATCTTTTCATACATTGGCAGCATTGTCCAGGATCAGAACCATGAGACTGATCTTTTACATACATTATATTTATGTAATAATGACCCTGCATAGTACTGAACAAACCTAGCTCATTCAGTGCCCCCTTTTATCCTTTTGGCATCAGAGACTGACATACATAGTATAAACAAACAAACAAACAAACAAACAAACCCACACATTTGGGAAGCCCTATCCTCCCTTCAATTCTTCCTTGTATAACATTATTCTCCTAAGCCTTTCCCATTTGGCTTTTCAAAAGAACACCATCAGTTCCCACCGATTCCTGCATGTGGTGGTCCATGATGGCAGAATGGACAAATGAAATAAAGGCAATGGTATTCCTAAACATACTCTATGCAGGTATGGAGTCTGATTAGGAATACCATTGCCTTCATTTCATTTGCCCATTCTGCCATTGACAGCTTGTGGTTGTACCAGCTTCCCAGTTTGTTTCACCTTCTCTTTCACCTCTTCCTAGGCTGCTTTGCCTGTCAGTCATACATCCACCTCCATTCCCAATGTCTTGATTTGTTCCATTGTGACCTCTAACCCCAGTTTTCCCATTCCTTCCATCTTCCCCACTTTAAGGCACATACTTTTTTGTACACTGTTTTGTCCTAACATCTGTCTGTTCATTTGTATCTTATTGCCCATTCTAGACTTGCTGTTTCTTGCTGGGATACAAATATTGTTCATGTGCAATATGCATTTTGCTTGTTTGCCCTTTCCTCCAGAGATTGGCACACCCTTAATCACATGATCTGTCCTGAACATCTTCAGAAAGAGCTCACTGGCAAAGATGAATAGGAGTGGTGACAGGGGGCACCCATGTCTCTTTCCTTGACTTCCTCTGTGAGATGATCATTCACTTCCCACCTACATTGCATATAAAGTCTTGGCCTGACTTAGAAACTTTGGTGAGGCCCCTCCCCTCCCCCACTTCTTGTTCAGAGTGCCAAACAGAAACTCATCCTCCACCCAACCATACACTTTTTCAAACTTGAGATTCAGGAGTGTCACATTCAGTCTTTCTTCTTGATAAGTACCAAATCATCTCTCTTAATAGCAGCTGTGCAGTCCCTGGCAGAGTAGTAACTACAGCACTAGCCTGGCTACTGCGGGCCACCTTTCCCACATTTTTTAAAATGCATTTGTTAATTTCTGGGCCTGTACCTTATAATCTAGGTCAAGTAAGATGGTTCGTCTCAAGCTCTCTAGCTTTTACTGCTCTTTCTTGTACAATAGTGCTATTATTCCTATGTTCCTACCTGTCCCAATCGTTCTGTCTCCAGATACTTCTGGAACACTAAGCCCAGATCTGTTAACAGTATGTTCCTGAAATTCTTGTAAAATTCCTGGGGCCTTCCCCATCTTGAAAGTTTCAAGTTACCTCCCATAGTTCTTTCAATGTTTACACATTCTCTAGCTGATGCCTGCCACTTGCCTCTAGGCTGGCCTCTAACCCCACTAAAAAGGAGTCAAGGACTCTATGATGCAACACCTGACTGGAGTATAATTTTTGGTTAAAACTCCTTCACCATGCTTAAGTATCTCTTCTTTGTTAACTGTATTCCCTTCTCATCCCACAGTGCCAAAATTCTCCCCTGCTCCTTTCCCCACTCAGGTGGCTTTAGCAAGGAAGATGTTTCTCTGTCCTTTATCTCTAAACCATTACTTCAATAGGTTGTCCCCGTCTTCATTCTTCCGTTACTGGGAATCACTTCTCCACCAGTCATAGAAGACATTGCAGTCTCCATTGAAATCTCATAAATCTCTTCTTCTTTTCCTAGTCCCTTCTTTTCCCCCCAAACACTGAAAAAAAAAAAAAAGGCTTATGTTCTTTCTTTAAACATTTACCTATCATTTCACTCTGCTTGTATATATTCCTTGCAAAGCTCCCTATTCTTCATAGTGGCTTCTATACCTTGTCCACATTCTCCACACTCTTGCAGTGCCTTGATAGGCAAAAAAGGATATCCTTCTCTTCAATAAAGTTCATACACGTCTTAATTGTGACTACTCTCTCAGGTGTCCGGGAGAGCCCCCAAAATCAAAATGTGTCAGGATGGGGTCTTCCTTACATTCTTTGTAATCTCCCAGAAATTTCAGTATGCTGCCTTGTCCCTAAATGTTCCCTTGCAGTCCAAATGGCTCACCAACTGGATAAGGCAATTCATACTAACCAATTCATAGTGGTTAAAATATAGGAAGAGCATGGGGAAGGAGACGTAACTGTAGGAGTCTATTACAGACCTCCCAACTAAGAGGAAGAGCTGGACTGAGAATTTAGTAGGATACTGGCTGAGGATGCATGCTTCCAGTGCTTGGTTGTCATGGGGAACTTCAGCCTCCTCAACATCTTATGTGAAGAGCACATAGCCAAATCTGACTGGTTGCGTAGCTTCCTTACTTGCATTAATGACCTCTACTGAACACAAGTGCTCCACAGACCAACTAGGGGAAAGGCACTGCTGGTCTGATTCTGGCTAAAGGGGATGATCTGGTGAGCAATCTGAAGGTTGAAGGGAAATTTGGTGACAGTGACCATGAACTGATCACTGGGTGTCCAACATAGGGTGGAAGAGTGTCTCAGTAAAACAGAAGTTCTCAACTTTGGGAAGGCTGACTTTCAAAAACAAAAAAAAACACTCAGGAAACTGGTCAACCAAGCACTCGGAGACCATGGCCCCTTAGAAATGGGAGCCCATGAGGAATGGTTGTTCCTTAAGAATACAATCCTTGAAGCAAAAGGAAAGTACATTCCATCATGAAGGAAGTGCAGTCAGCAGGCCAGGTGCCCCCTTGGCTCAATAGAGAACTTTTGGACCTTCTAAAGCTAAAAAGGGAAGTGTACACAAAATGGAAAATGTGAGTCATCACCAAGGAGGATGAGACAGTACTAACCCGCACTTGTAGAGAACATACCAGAAACTTCAAGGCAAACACCAAACTCAGACTAGCTACGGGAATCAAGGAAAACAAGAAGTTTTTTTCTTCAGATATGTGGGAAGTCAGAGGAAGAACAAAAGCAACATTGGACCCCAGCTAAATCAAATGGGGCAGCTGACATCTGACACTCAGGAAAAAGTGAATCTCCTAAACAATTACATTGTATCAGTCTTCCACCCATCCAAAGGGGTCACTCTGTCAGATAGGATGCAAAGAATCCAGGGGGGTGGGAGACAGGACCACAATTGATGTAGATCAAGCGAGGGAACACCGAGAGACTTGACATCCACTAGTCCGTGGGTTCGGACAGTACGCACCCAAGAGTCCTGAAAGAGCTGGTGGACATCATAGCACACCCTATGGCAAAGATATTTGAGAACTTGTGGCATTTGGGAGAGGATTAGAAAAGAGTCAGTCTGATCCCAGTCTTCAAGAAAGGAAGACCCAAGGATTTACAGACCAATCAATCAGTCTGACATCCATTCCTGGAAAGATCCTGGAGAAAAATCAAAGGTTCCATCAGCAGCAGGTTAATGGAAGGCAACTTTCTGAATGCCAGTCAACATGTCTTTGTTGCTGGAAGGTCTTGCCTGACCAACCCGGTCTCCTTGTATGACCAGGTGACACATTGCCTGGACAAGGGAAACAAGGTTGATGTCATACATCTGGATTTCAAGAAGGCCTTTGACTTTGTCTCCCATGATGTCCTCATGGCCAAGCTGGAAAACTATGGCCTTTACCATCTCAGTCTGTTAGCTAGGGTACTGGCTCTGGGGTCACACCCAAAGAGTACTGGTTGATGAGAGCAAATCAACATGGTGCAAGCTGACTAGTGGTCCCCCTCAGGGCTCAGTACTTGGGCCAGTACTCTTGAACAGTTTAATTAATGATCTGGATTCAGGCATCAGATGCAGACTGGCAAAGTTTGCGGATGACACTGAACTATGGCGGAAGGTGGTCACACTGGAGAATGGGTTGGGGATACAGGCTGACCTGGACAGTCTCATAAGGTCAGTGGACTAAAACCACTCTTTTGGTGAAAACCAATCCTTTGAACAAAAGGAGGTTTCTCACCTTCGATATCATTACTGTTGCATAAAGGACAGCCAAAGCTCTGTTATCTGGCATCCCTTGGGAATGGGGGATGCTGGTTAATCAAATATGCACTGTCTGGAGCACACCCTGGCATCAGTGTGCTGGGGGACAGGGAGAGGGGCCACGTGCAGGCTGCTTTGCCCCAGGCCATGAGCCAAAGAAGTGAAGAAGTGAATTGAAAAAATAAATAAATAAAAGAACTTGGCTCTCAGCCAGAAACCAGAAGTGGGACTTCCGGTTTTGCTTTTGCGGTACCCCTCAGATGCCAGTTAGTGAAGCTTTTCAGTCGAGTGTGTCAGATAACATGGCTTTTGCTTCAGCATGGTACTCTGTGTCTCTAGTCCTTTGGGCATTAACCCGTACAACACTGTGACAGGACAGTGAGTACTGTTATAAGAAGCCCAAAGCACAACAGAGGCAGAACAACTTACTGCTGAGGCAAGTACAGACAGAGGCAGAGCCAGGCAGAAGGTCCTGAATTTTAATTAGGGAGACCATCTGGGGGAGCCACCAGGGCAACAAATTGGATGTCACACTGGACTGCACAGCTGATCTTCCTGGAAATTAAAGCTAGGACAGACCAACAGTTAGTTTCCTAGAGAGGAGAGTGGCACAATAGGAGGCATGTGGGTGTGGCACAATTTGTCCCAAAGTGCATGTTCAGGCATGTCCACTGAGGCAAAAAGCCCAGGCTCAAATTTGTGTGGCTTCTATTTGAGCTGCTGCAAATGCACATGCCTCCATGTATTGATGCACCCCGAGAGGCATGTTTATGCCCTCAACATTTCCTATCGACTAGCTATTGGAAGATGTGTGCTGTGGAGGTTGGGTTCCCATTCATAAGTGTTTCTGTCAACAAACTAAGCAGAAGGCAATAGCACCTAACACCGGGCTTTGGATACTACTGTGGGAACTAGGCATCCAAGTCCTTTATGGCATTAGGCTCACAGCATAAATATTCAGTTAGTTATTTTTGGTAAAACTTCACAGAAAACTAGAGGACCTACAGCCACCATGGGTAACATGCTTAAACTTTTATTTTTAAACTATTTTGTATTCCTAGGACAATCTCACATTTTAGACATGATCCTGAAAGCTGGTCTGCATAGGTAGAGCCCTCACTATGCTGGTTTATATGTATCCTCATCATGACTTTATTTGGGGAGCAGAACTAAACTTCCAGCATTCAGGGATAAAGTTCCCTGGCTCAGGTAATAAAAATAGAAACCATCTCCATAAAATACTCAAGTATTTGTTAACTTCAGCCACCTGAGCTGTCACACTTAAGCCAAATGAAATGTTTCAGAAGCTTAAAATTCAGCTTATACTTAAGTATCTTACTAGCCTGGTGTTTTTACAGAGGTGAGGACATCACTCTAGAAAGGAATGCAGGACAAGTTTCATAGTAGCTAGGGTCAGGAGGGACCTGAACAGATCATCTAGCCTGACCCCCTGCCACAGGCAGGAATGAATGCTGGGTTCACCAGACCCCAGACAGGAGATTGTCCAACCTCCTCTTGAATTTGCCCAAGGTAGAGGTGAGAACCACCTCCCTGGGAAGTTGGTTCCAGATTTTGGTCACCCTAACTGTAAAATATTACTTTGTGATCTCTAACCTAAACCTGTTCTCCATCAGCTTATTACCATTGTTCCTTGTCACCCCTGGTGGTGCTGGGAGAAAAGGGCTCTGCCTATTTGCTGTTGATCTCCCCTGATGAGTTTGTAGGCAGCCACCAGGTCCCTCCTCAGCCTCTTCTTGCTGAGGCTGAAAAGGTTCAGGTCCCTCAGTCTCTCCTAGTAGGGCCTGTCCTGCTGCCCTCTCACCAAGCGGGTGGCCCTCCTCTGAACCTTCTCCAGGCTAGCCACATCCCTTTTGAAGGGCAGTGCCCAGTACCGGATGCAGTACTCCACGCATAGAGGGGGAGGATCACCTCTCTGGACCGGCTTGAGATGCACCTTTGGATGCATGACAAGGTATGGCTGGCCTGGCTGGCTGTGGTCTGGCATTGGTGGCTCATGTTCATCTTGGAGTCAATAATGACTGAGATCCCTTTCCGCCTCTGTGCTTTCAAGAAGGGAACTCCCCAGCTTGTATGTATGCTCTGGATTCCTTTCCCCAAGGTGCAGCACTCTGCATTTGTCTACATTGAACCCCATCCTATTCTCATCTGCCCACTTTTGTAGTCTGTCTAAATCTAGTTGCAGCCTCTCTCTCCCTTCAAGCGTGTCCACCTCACCCCACATCTTAGTGTCATCAGCAAACTTGGACAGCATGAGTTCCACCCCCTTGTCCAAATTACTGATGAAGATGTTAAACAGTTCAGGCCTGAGGACTGAGCCCTGGGGTACCTCACTACTCACATCTCACCAGGTTGAGTACAACCCATCCACCACTACTCTCTGGGTGTGCCCATCAGCCAATTTTTTACCCATCCAACTGTGTAGGAATCAATGCCATAGTCGCTTAATTTGTTGATGAGGATGGAGTGAGAGAGAGTGTCAAAGGCCTTCTTGAAGTCTAGAAAGACTACGTCCACGGCAACACCATCATCCAAGGATTTAGTTACCTGGTCATAAAAGGCAACCAGGTTGGTCAGGCAGGACCTGCCTTT